TTTCCAATTATTCCAATATTCATACATTAAGGTGAAAATTTCGATGAAAAATTGTTTGATATATTCTAGATAAATTAAAAAATGAAAATGGTACTATACCAACATTTTATTCTTAAGTTACTACGCCAAATTCTAAAGATGGTCAATTGTAAGTTTATAAGATAAAATAGATACTTAATTTTTAATAGTGGTCCGGTCAGACCTATGCAATAATTATATAAAGATGTAATGAATTTTATATACTTATCAAGAAAAATGATTTTGCATTTTAAAATGTAATAATCAGAAAAATATAACGATAGCAAAAAGCGATAGAATTGAAATTGTTATTAAAATTTACCACTATGATTGCGTGAAGTAAGTGTAATTTTATAACTTTTTAAAATTTATAAAATTTTTAAGTCAATTTTTTAGGGTTTTTTATTAACTTATGGGGAATCGAAATTTTTACCAAATTAATTTTTAAATTTTTGGAATTACTTTAAATGAAATCCGGAATTCCGGTATATTTCCGGAGTTATTACGAAAAAAAATCAAAAGGAAAAATTTAATGTTTAAAATATTTTAAATTAAATAAAATTCAATTTTTATTTAAGATTTTAGTAAAACAAGACAAATTCAATATTTTAATTCTGATTTTTAAAAATAGCTTCTTAACATACATAAAATTATGGAATGTGGGTATTATAAAGACTAGACCTGATTTTTATTCAAAATGTTCTAGCGACAGAAAAAACTTCATCTGGTTGAACACTTCTTGGAGGAATACAAAACAGTAAACATTATTCGAAAAAATCCGATAAAATTTACCTAACATACTTTGGTTTTGTATAACAAATACTATATAATTAATATTATTAAAATACATATGTATTTACCGTATTAAAAACAAGAAAAAAACAAAAAATATTCGGATTTCGGAATTTCGATTTTTTTTAAAAAACGAATGGATTTTGGTGTTCCGGAATTCCGAAATCCGAATTTGGATTCTCTAATTAAATATAGAAAGAGGCTATAATTGAATGAAATAAGATTAGTTCTATGCAATAGAATTTTTCGTTTTTATTGCACATATCCTTGGAATTATATTTTAATAACCAAAAATTAATATAAATTAATCTGTATTATATTATTCTTAATTATTTTTAATAATCAGATTACATTTACAGTTCAATGTTACCCTATTATTATAATACAGTGTATGAATTAAAAAACAAAAAAAAATATACGTTCATCAAATTCACATTACTAAAATAATACTTTTTTTTTCAGTTGAAAAAAAACACCGGGAAAATTATACATATTAAGTAACGGTATTTTTAATAGGTATTTAAGTGAAAATAGAAAAATAACATATTTTCAATATTATATTTTTACTATAGTGTTCAGTTTCTATTTAAAACATAGCCGTGCTTTAGGCATTTAAATATTAATATACATATGTATGTTTGTATGCATATGTAAAATTTTAGCAAAAATATTTTCTTTTTTTTTTTTTGTAGGCCATATTTTTTATTATGTATAAAATCTTTAGTTCAGTTTTTTTCTTCATTCTGTTTTTGAAATTTTTATAATAATAAAAAAAAAATGGCAATTTACTTTTATGTACTCTTGCATATATAAGAAAATTTATACTTATATACTTATTGTATAATAAACATATATATTATTTTTATTTTTATATTTTATATTTTTAATAACACCCATCTGAATATACATAGTTTTATTTTTGTATATTCTTATATATTTTTATAAATTATTCCGACATGGTATGTATGAATGTGAATTATAATTGTAACTTGTACAAAAATACAAATTTTTGCATATATATAGATATATATATGTATATATCTATATATAATATAGATATTAATTGAAAGAAATATTCGTATATGTTCATATTATGTATGTATGTATGTACGGTACATACTCTATTTACTGGCATTGCTTTATTAAATTGAATTAATCAGAACAACCTTGAAATCGTCAACAAAATGTTGCTTGTGCCTTGAAATTTTTATTTTTTTTTTTGTTTTTTGCTACTTTTATTTTATTTTTTTTTTATTATTTTATTCTAGTTTAATTTTATTTTAATTTTTTTTTTTTTTTAAGTTTTAATTTTAATATTTTTGTATTTTATTGTAAATTTTTATCAATACCTAGTCCATTATACGTTCGTATATGTACGTATGTATGCATGTATGTATGTATGTGTCTGTATAATAAATAATATTATGATAATATTAAAACAGTATTAAATTTAATTTTAATTTTTTTTTTGTTTCTACTCACGTTTTATGCCATACTGTATGATACATACATACGGTATGTATATATAAATGTAAGTATATATGTATGTATATAATATGTTATAAGTTACGGTATTTGAAAATTGGTGTAAAAATATTTGACGGAACTCGAAATAAAAATAATTTTATTTTTTTTTTTTTGAACAAGGTCTTAAACCATTTGCAAGTAGCTTTGTATAGTGGCAAGAAAAAATATTACATACATACTTATACATATTTACTTATAATATAAAAATATGTCTTATTAAATTTGTATATAGGTATATATAATATAAAAAGAACGAAACGGCAAAAAGTGACAACACCTACGAATTATGTGTTTTCAATGTTTTTTTTTTTTTTTCATTCGTTTTTAAATAGCCAAAAAAAAAAAACGAAACAAAACAAAAAATGAAAAAATCAAAAACTAGAAATAGAAAAATATAAAAAGTAAAAGGAAACTTTTGTGTATATACAAATGTACAATTGTACATACATCATAGTATATTGCTAACATAATAAATATGTAGTATCTACATGTACATATTAATAGAATAAGTATGTATATGACATATATAAAATATATTTGTGTTGTTATATACAACAACAGTAAAAAGCCGCTAAAAATATTAACACATTGGTGAAAAAAAAAATAAGATTTAATTAAATATTATCTAAATTAAAAATCAAATTTTTAGTGGCAATTATAAAATTTTCTAAAATTATAATAATGTATATGAGTTCCATTTAAGAGAATATGAAAATATTATTGTATAACACTCCAAGACTTCAATATAACTCAGTCATATGATGCGGTAATTATACAGACGAGTTATATAATTAAAACCTACTCCTTAACTTCTCTATTCAATATAGAGAATTCTAATAATAGAAAGCGATTATTTTATAGTAATTGTTATTTTATAAGATGAACATCTAAATTACCCTCTAATATCAATTTTATTTATAAAATTCTATTGTACTGAATAGGCTGTAGAAACAAATTAATATTTCAGTAGAAATATTAATTTGTACAGTTTGACAATTACAGTTACAATATTGTTTTTATGAAAGAATTTGAAAATACAAAATTATGATATTAAACTGCATGTATCCGTCATTGAAATTATTAATACAATAGGAATTTTTTTTATTTATAATTATATTTATATAAATTTCCACTATTCAGAAAAAAAAGCTTATAGAACAGTATTGCATATTGTAATATGAATTTTATGAATATCGTAAATTGTCAAATATAGTGTTTGTAATATTTATAACTAAAAAAACGGGGAATATTTTAAAATGCCTTAAAATATTAATAAGATTTTTGACACTCGAATCATCTAAGGAAATTCATAATAAAGAATTTCTACTTTCAACTGATTTGAAAATTTATTAATATAATATAACATACATAATGTTTTAATAAGACATAATATCGACACTTATCCCGGAAAATACGGTAAGCGTAAATTATAGAAATTTTGAACAAAAATTAAAAAAATCTGTTGGCATTTAAATATTGTTGTTTTCTTGTACAATATAAAATTTATTTTATCAATTTTTAAAAAAATTTTAGAACAGCGAAATTTTGCTAAAATAATTTGTCGTTTAGGACATTCTGTTAGACAAGTATCGAAATTATTACATAATATTACTCAGGTATGTATGTATGGTATGTACGAGAAGCTATACATATGCAATTATGTCGTTAATTCTAGTATATAAAATTTAATTAATTTTGTTTTTTTGTCTTATTCTTCATCATGATTTATCGAAAAATTAAATATATTTTATTATTATGCTATTTTTAGCACAAAACATTCTTTTGACATTAGTGTAGAATTTTGTTCTAAATTCAAGTAAATTTAAAATATTAAATAAAATAATAAACAGTATATTCGAATTATATTTATACTAGAGATTTATATTTATTACTAGACATACAAAGATTAAAAATAAATTCATATGTTCAGTGCAGCGTCTGGTAAAAAACAAAAAAAAATAATTAATATTGAATTATAATATACCGAAACAAAATGCTTCGTGTTTTTGAATTATGTGCCTATTATTTACGAAACGTATTGGTTTTATAATAGTTTTACGAGATTAGATTTAAGTTTACCTCATCATTTTACCATAATATATTAATTTACAATTTTTGCTATTCTAGGTCTAAAATATTTATTTATAAATACACAACCAATGCTCTATTTATTCGGAATAGGAAACGAACTTAGCCTAACCTCCTTTTTGACAGATACATGAAATAGTTTCTTACCTGGTATCTGAAATAATAAAGAAAACTTCACGGAAAGAAAATTAACATTGCTTTTTTGTGGCCTAAAATGGAAACCGGAACCACAAAATTAAAAAAAAACCATTTTAAATCGGATATTCAAGCCGTAAAATGAAACTTAAGCCTTTTCTCTAAAATCATACCATATATCGCATGAATCATAGTAAAATAACTTCTTCCATTAAAAGGCTCTGATTTCTCTATAAAATTTCGAAGTTTCAAGTTAAATATTTTTAAATGTTAAATAAAAATAGTAAAAACCCCCTGTTTTTATTTTCTAATCAATTGTAAATAGAACTGATCCCAAGAATTTTTAATGAAAAAAAAAATAGACGCACCACTGTACATATAGATACTATACAAAAATATACTTTTTATTTAATATATTTATAATAAAAATTTATAAATACCTTTCGTTTACGTGGTGTCTCTTCACCATAATCCATAACAATTCCTTCATCAGACGTTGATAATGATGTTGTACGATTACGATTATTATTATTTATAACACTGTTATTATTATTACTATTATTGTTAGTATTATTACTAATATTATTATTATTGGCACAATGCAACATTGGAAGAGTTGATCCGTCATCACTTAATGGCGGAGAAGACGATCCTGAACTCCATGATGCACTACTGCTACCTGGTGATGAACCGAATGTATTCCATTGACCTAAATATAAAAAAAGCATATATGTATGTATATGTATATTAATATTTTAATTCCAAAATATAAAATGAAAAATAAATTTAATCAAATTGCATGATAAAAAAGAAAAAATTTTTTTTTTTGCTTTGAAAATAATTTAAAGTCAAAAGAGAGGAAAAATTTATTTATTTAATTTACAAAAAAAAAAATTAATTTCCAGTTAAAATTTAATTATTTATTTATAATTAATTATAATATATGAAAATAATATATAAAATTGATTTTTTTTTTACCTTTATTTATACTTGGAGATCGGGGTGAACATGATAGACTCATAAGTACAAGAGCTGCGTTACATGCTTCCATTTCACTTTCATCACGAAATTGTAAGAAATTTTCTCGTTCATCTTGTGAATATGATGGACGACGTTTGCGTGAGCTATTAAATTGAAAAAAGGTAATAAAAACAAGATGAAAATTTAATTTAAAGTTTCAATTTCCAAAAAAAAAAACAATAATAATAAATTCAATTTTCTTTGTAATTTTGAATGTATGGCTACTGTATATTTTCTTTTAATCATGGTAATTAATTTTAATTTTTTCTTTATAATTTCATATTTAACCTATTTCAAAAAAAAAAAATCATTTTTAAAATGAAAGTTATTTAATATTTTGAATTACTCATTTTTATAGGTTTAAAAATTTATTAATCACACGATATTTTTTAATTTTATATTTTGCTATGAAAAGGAGGCTTTTTATTAATAATGAAAATAAGAATACAAAATAATAATTAGTGGAATTTGTGGTACAAAAAACAGTCGCAACAATCAATTTCGAAAAAAAATTATAAATATTTTGAAACTGAATAATATGAAAGTGATTCTTTAGAATTCATTAAACTTGAAATTGAACTTTCTTGCTGAAATTGTGAAAGTATTTTTATTTCATTGTTCCGGAACTTAAATTTCAATTGTCTGAAATTGCAAAATATCTAATTAATGAAACTGCTTATTATAGGAGTTATTGATCTTTATATGGAACCTAGTTTCTTACTCAAAATTTAAAAATCATATTTAAAATTATTGCATTTTTATTGTTAAGAAAATGTTTTTTTTTTCTTTAAACGTAATTTAATTTTTTATATAAAGTGCCGGCATTTTATTAAAATGAAGGTTCAAAGTGTAAAAAAAACAAAACCAACAAATTCAGGTAATAAATTTTTATTTAAAATTTTAAAATGCATAATATTTTCTGATGTTTCATTTCACTTTTATTATACATAAATAAATAAATTCATTTAAAAACTATAAATTTTTTTATTTACGATTAACGTTTGAATTAATTTATTTTTTTTTAAAAGATTTTTATTTTTGTCACGCATTGAAAATTTTTATAAAATTGTTGCACATACCATATTATATCTATACACAAAAATATATAGCTCTAGAGCTCTTATCCATAACATGTTTATTTGTAGATATATGTAGGTATATAATGAGTGTTTATTAAATGACTATATACAAATTAATAATATAATTACGCAGATTATACAATATGAGAAAATAAAAATGAAAAGTAAGAAGAAAAGAGAAGAAAACAAAATTCAGCAAGGTCAGTAAGTCAGTTAAACCAACAAGCATAAAATAAGTAAAAATAGTAATTGCTATTTTGTAAGATGCTTTTTTTTTTTGTCAAAATGAAATATTTTTTTATAATGTAATTTTGCCATTACTGTCTGACCTATGGGTGACAGTAATGGCAAAAAATGACAACTTCACATGCATGTATTTCAACAAAGTTAAAAAAAAAACTTGGTAAAAATATTTTTATTTTTATTTTATAATTATTGTGAATGAACTAGTAAATGCACAATTTACGTAACACGTATACATACAGTGTTACGTAAATTGTGCAATATTACATATTTGTATAAAACATTAAACTAAGCTCCATTCTGATTGATGCCGTATTGTTATGTTGTTAATTATATGAATTTACAAGAAAGTGAAAAGAGAGATATTAGAGATAATATAAGTTCGACTGTGCTCTTTAATATGTCCAACTTTCGAACGGTTCCTACGATTTCTGAAAAAATTTACCATATATTTTTAAGGAAAATAAAAAAAATATAGGCCAAATATAGCATTTCGGAGTTAAACGTGGTATCATCATACTATAAACAGAAATTGGAATATCAACAAATTATTTAGTCTTCTTTAGTTTCCCAGAATGAGGTCTTTAACCAATGCATATGAAGTATAGTTAATGTTTAATGCCCTATTTGTAAATTCCATTAATTTGAGTGTAGTAAATTTGAGATAGTTATAATACAATTTTGTATAAATTGGTACGAGTACAAAATATATATAATTGACATTAATGAACTTCAAATTAAAGTTCCGTGAAGGATACTTAACATTTACTACAAAAACAATATATGAAATTTAGAATTATAAAAATATTCAAAAAAATTCTGAATTATTCATTTTGGTTTTTTTTTTTTTCATTTTAGGTCGGAACGAACTACAAGAACTAAAATTTCTCATTAGTTTCATTTAAAAAAAAAAAATTAATAGAAATGTTTTCCAATGCTTATTTTTGAATTGATGCAATATGACATGTCAACAAAACAGAATGTTTTTGCAAAATTCAGATTTCTGTTTATATGTAAAAATTTTATTAAAAAAAAAACCAAGGAATATAATAATTGTAAATATCTTCAAATATTCAAAAATAAGCAACCGACCCACAATATCATATTAATTTTTTGGTTTTTTTCATAAAAGAGCTTTAAAAAATTACCGTTAATGAATACGTGTATGTATGTATGTAAGTATGCACGAATTTTGTGAATAAATTTCAAAAATATATTTTATATTACTTAATTTTTATTTTCTTTTATAAACATAGGCATAGTACCCATATACTCGTACAGATATTTGTAAGTACATACATACATATGTATATACTATTGATAATTTTTGTTTTAAAAAAAATTGGAAAACTGGCACAAAAATTTTATTTTTTTTTTTGTTTGTTACCTTGAGAATTGCTATATTTTACAAGTTGGGAACGTTTCAAATATAAATTTTTTTTAATAAATACATATATTATTTCTACAGGTATACAATATGTAGGTATATGTATAAATTAATGAAGAGGTTATACGCGTTATTAACTATACGCACTCATTTAAGAAAATGAGGTGTTGGTTTAAGCAAATTATATATAATTTTTGTATGCAGAAATAGTTTCGAAAAATCATATTAAAAATTCATTCGTGTTTTATACATGATTGTATGAATATGTTCTTTAAATATAATTAAATTTGTAACATTTAAAACAAAAGTTAGAATGGGTTACAAAATTTTTTTGTTATAATTTTATCAAAGTGCATTAGATACCAACAAAAATTATCACTTTATTTTTTTTTTTAGATAAATTAATTTTTCCGAAATTCTACTATAACATTTTATGTACGAGTAAAATATATAATTTTGATTAAATTCACACAAATATATATATAAATATATGCTATTATTTTTGGTTTATAATTACATAAGGTCAAAATACATATGTGCAAATTATTATTACATGTTTATTTTTATCAAAACTATTCATATGTATTATGCAATAAAAAAATATTGCATACTTTTCGGAGTAAGAACGAAAATTAAAAAATAAGTTAACATACTGGTCAAATTCGATTTTCTTTCTAGCTTTCTGCTCTTACAGAAACTTAGAAAAGTTTACAATTTTGAAAATATGAAGTGCCAAAATTTAAATTTTACTAATTCAGAGGCCACTTTTCTTCAACATGGGTTGCGGAAAAAAAAATTTCTTTAAGCGTAATAAATCATTTGCTAATGTCTAGACACTATTAATAGAAAAAGGATACCAAAAAATTTTATTCAAATAAGTACACTCAAATTATTTATTTAAAGTATAGGTAAATATGTATGCGTATAAGCATGTAAGAAATTTGAAACAATATATAAGTGAAGTGTAATAAATGTATTGGTCCGTTTTAAAAATAAATGATAGGATTATGAAAAAATTTATTTGAATTCAATTGAAAGCAAAATTTCTTTATGGACCATTTTAAATAAAAAAAACTATTGAGCTCAAAACAATTTTTTAAGGTGTGGAGTCTTAGAAATAAAATGTAAAAGGTAAATTATAATTACATTTATGTATACCTATATACATACGCATAGTAAAAATTTTAAATTAACAATTATTAGAGAAAGAAATGAATGAAAATAATTTTTAATAGATAATTTAATTAAATATGTAAATTAAATATTGAAAAATTCAAAAAACAAAGAGGATATTCCATCATAATAATATTATAAAAAAGCTGTTCATTCTCTCTTAATTCTTATCAGAAAATCTTATAATAGCAACAAAAAAAAATCTTGAACAAATATGAGTTACAAAACAGAAATCATATGGCAAACAAACACATCCGTATTTATACATATACACTCATCTATAAATATATATACATTTCATATATGCATATTTGTGTATATTATTATTGTTATTATTACTGCTGGTGTCATGAAAGCTATTATTGTGTACATTCATCTCAACATAACAATTTTGTTTTTTTTAAATGTGTTGATTTAAATTTTTTATTTATATTTTTTTTTCTTTTACAAAAAAAAAATACCCACTTAGCAAACTTAACATTATATTTTACGTCATCTTTTCTAATAAAGTACACCGAGAAAAATAAAAGTAGAAATAAAAATGAAAAAAAAAAAAAAATATTTTCATGCAACACGATCATTGATCGTTTGCTATAAAAATAAATTTGGAACGAAATTGGCACGGCACACTACATAACCATACATGTTATACTGCTGGTGCTGACATTCTTGCTGATATTACATAAACAAATTGTACAAAATATAAATATATAAATACACTATGTATGTACTTATATTAACATGTATGTATGTAATTATGTACATATGAATTAAAAACGTTCATCTTAAAAAATAATAATGAGAAGCAGAAAAAGGGAAAAAAAAATGTGTTCAATTCGTGTAGCAGCAAAACAACTATAGGAACAAACCCCTTAAGAATTACGATATCAAATAGGAGAAGAAATTTACGAATATACGTATAGGGTAAATTATGTTATGTAAGTATACTGAATATGCAAATACATAATACGTACTTATTCTATTTATTACAAGTTTTATAAATTTACCAAAGTGGGAACTTGACTTTTCATCTTTGAAAAAAATTAATAAGACATTAAGTCAAGAAAAAAAGTATATATAATGTACGTATGTATATATAACAATTTAATATTTAATTACATTGTACATATGTATATACATATATAAAATTTATAATTAACTAAAGTAAATATTATTTGTATATTGTTATTTGTACATATGTATAACACACAATCTGTAATATGAGTATGGCACTTATATGTACATACATAATATGTATGTATATGTAATCAACATCTCAAATTATAAGTATTTTTTACCGGAAAAATAATTTACGTTTCCAACTTTGTATACAAAGTTTCTGTTTTTTAAATTTGCGATTCAGGAGGGGAAAACATTGATTTTAATTATAAAAAAAAAAACTAAATTGTATAAATTAAAATAAAAATTAAAAAAAAACAAAAAAAAATTTCAATGAAATTTACGATATGAATTTACACCGGTTTTTACGTTCACATTTTGCGACGTATTTATAGCTGTTTATGCTTGTATGTATGAATTTTAAAAATAATATTTTATATGTATGAACATATGCTTTTTGAGCTTTTTCAAAGAAAATAAAAAAATTTTTTAATGATTTGTTATGATTAACTTTGAATTTTTTTTTTCTTAACACACATATACATACATGCATATTTAAATACACATATAAATTCATTTCATCGCGATATTTATTACTCATAACAACTAAATTATAACGTTAATTATATTGCTCTTAATTTAAATGTTAAATGTTGTGTTTCATAAGTTTTATAAAAAAAAAATTGGCATACTAAATTCATTTAGAATTATTTTTTTTTCTGTTACATACCATATGTAAAACGTATATCTACAAATGTACGTGCACAGATTCAAGCAATATGAAGAAAGGAGTTCGAAAAATTAAAAATATACAAATATAACATAATCAGATAAAATTGAATTCTAAAAATTCAAAATCTAATATTTTTTTGTATTTTAAATTAAGGAAAAAAAAAATAACCCATGACTTCCTTTTCAAATCTTTGTCACCTAAAAGTTAATAGTTTGCAAGTGCATTTAAGTAGATAATGTCAAATGCGTTTTAAAGCTCTAAGCCATATACATAATATAGTATGTATAGGTATGTACTATAAAAATGAACTTTTGATTTATTTATATCCCGAATTTATTTTAAAAATTCAATAAATTTAGATAAAATAAAAAATTTTTCTAAGCCGAAAATGTATAACGTACGTTTATACATTGTACACAGTTTAGTATAATTATTATACTAGCACTGTCATTACTAGTATTACCACCATATCATTGGGTCGGAAAATTTTTAAATTATTTTTAGCAATTTAATTAATTTTTTTCTAAATTGCAATATTCGCAACTAATTTTTAATAATAAATTGAAATAGTTAGAGTAGAATTGCCGCGTATTGTTACTAAGTTTAAACCGCAAAATTTAATAAAAAAGAAAAATTATTATTTACAGTGAAAAATTCATTATTCGAATTTGGTAAAATTAACCGGACTATAGTAGACACGAAAAATTTAATTATGTATGTACAAATGTACATAAATATGTATTTTTCTTTTAAAATGAAAAAGTATTTAAAGGTTATATCTATAAAATTTTTAAGGTAAAGTTTAAAGCCCTCATTTTTTTTTAATTTTAATTTTGGAATTTACATGCATACTAATATAAATACATACTAGTACATTATATAGGTTTTTAATATTAATAAAAAAATTAAAAACTTTTAAGCAAAATTATAAATTAAAATTACATGATATGCACGTTTATATACATGTGTACACAAATATATATTTGTACATACATTTTATAAGTATTAAGGTAATAATATGAAAAGTTCAAATTGTAATTATTTTGTGTTCAATGTTTATACAAGTGATATATAATGTCAATGACATGGTGCTTTTAATTTACGTATACCACACTTTTAAATATCAAAGGCAAGAAAAAAAAAATTAATTTCGAAAAATAAAAAAAAAAAAACTAAATAAAAGTATTCTAAATAAAGACTTGAATAAAAATATTTTAATTTGTTTTATATACAAATATATAAATCTATGTATATATAAATATATTATATATTTTAAAATGTAAATAGAAATAGCTATGTAAAATGTAAAATTTTTATTTAATTTTTTATTTTTCTATTAGTTTTTTCTTTTTCTTTATTAGATAACAGAAATTCTCTTGAGCTTAAATTAATTTGAGGTCATTTAAATAAATCAATGTATGAGAATTAATATACTTATCTAATTTTGTATAACAAATATAAATTAAAAAAAAATTAATATTTACATGTGCGTATGTAAATGTTTATAATATTTAATATTTTATAAAATAAAATAAAATATAATAAAACATACTTTTGTTGTTGTGTAAAAACTATTGGCACATCAATATTATGTGATGTTCGACGACGATCTCCAGCCATATCAGCTAAACGTGCAAAATCTGTATCTCGATCTTGATCAGCTAAACGTGCCGAACGGCGTGATTCTAATAGACGTACTTCTTCAAGACGTTTACGTAATTCCAATGGTTCCTGTAAAATAATAAAGGAAAGAAAAAATATTTAATTTTAATTTGAATTTCTTATGTTAATACAATTAAATTATATTAAATAAAAATATAATATTATATAATATTACTCGTATATTTAAATATAGATATACATATATAATTTTATTTCAATACTTTTATTTTTATTTTTTAATAAATAAATTTTCAGCAATAAATTTAGTTGATGTTAAAAATTAAGAAAGGCTATAGTTAAATTTAATTATTGAAGTTGTTCGATAATATTGTTCGTAATTTGACCGGAGGAGGGTGGAACATTTCAATGGGGGAGAGATCAAAAAACATCAGAAAATGTGTTAACCACAGTATGCAAACTATACAATTTGTCATACAATTTTGAAGTAAAACCAAAAATAAATTCTTCTTTTCAAAATAATTGCAATTTCTTAAATAATATTGCAATATTTTTATGACTTACTTGCAATAATTGGGTATTCATAAAGTAGTTTCAACTTGAAAAATTAAAAAAAAAAATCTTTTAAGTATATTGAAATAGATTTTGAGAGCCATCTTAACAATTTTGAAGTACTTCTTAAACTAGAATGTTTGTAAACGTGAACTACTTTTGAAATTTTTACCATAATATTTGCGTAAAGCAACTTAAGTATAACAGCAATGAATAAAATTTTAATATATGTTCAAGTATATGTAAATGTACGAGTATATAATTGATTATTAACGATCATTGATCAAAATATTTCAGAAATAATTTAAATGCTAATTTCAAAACGATTATTTTCCATATTAATTATAAAATATTATTGTAAATAATTTTTCTATTAGATTTTTAATTATTATATACACGTGCAAGTAAAATAATGTTAAATATTTATTATATTGTTTATTATTAAGTAGATCTTATTATTATTCTCAGGATATAGATAGTCTTACATTAAGTAAAAATTTTAATATAATTTCACGTTTTAAAAACATGTTTTCTAAATGAAATTTAAGAATTTAGTTTTTTTTTTATATGAAAAAAAAACTATATGTATCCTTCTATTAGTAAAATAATTTCATTACTAAATTTAAAAATGCAATATATTGGTAAAAAATAAATAAATTATTAAATATTGCATTCATTAACATTAGATGATCATTCACCTACATAGCTATATGTATGTATACATAAAATTGTAAAAATAAAAAAAATCCTTATCATAATATGTGCATATTATATACGTTATTATAGGGTTTGTTCACCCAAAAATCTGAGTTAGTGATAGTTTTAAAACCTACACTCTTGTGTATTAATTGAACATTATTGTTTTATAATGAGAAGCAATAGAAGCGGTGAACGTTCTAAGAGTGATTTGTGTTTGTAATAATACTAATAATATTATCAATTAATAACAATAAAATAAGAACTTGAATGAAATGTCAAAGAACTTTAAATGACATTTTAAAATAATAATATTAATAAATATATTATATTATAAAGTCAAGAGGAAATTATAACAATAAACTAAAGTCAAGTACACAAGCACATACTTATTAATATAAGAATCTTTTAGTAGAAGTGTGTGTATTTATATAATAAAAATTACGTCAAAAGCTACGACTAGCAACTAAATTATCTCATAGGTGCATTAACAAATTCATAAGTCATAATTTCTTTATTACTTATTCAGAGCTATTAATAGCAGAGCTTTCTTTTAAAATTTCCCTACAAATCGAAAAGTATAATTTATTTCAAAAATTGTATTAGAATTTTTTTAATTTGAATAATTTTAAATTTAAGTTTCTATTCGATGTTTTTAAGTAATATTGGCTAATTATTTTATTCTTATATTTGTCCATGCTGACCAAAATTTATTCAAAAATTACAACATATACATTTATTATGCTTTAATTATTCAAGAAACCTCCAAAAATCAATAAAACAAAAATAATTTTTTTTTTGCATAAAATTTTGAATATTAATTTTTTTTTAAATTATGGTAAACATTTTATAAGCAATGTGTTTGACTTTATTTTAACACAAGTTTTACAGGTTTTCTTAAAATTTTACCGGTTCGAAAAAATTAATTAAACAAAGAGAGGAAGAAGAAAAACAGTTTCGTTGAAATGTTTTGGCATCATCTTATATTTATATAAGTATGTGCTTATGTACAGTTTATTATGTATTATGGGCGTGGAGCTAATGGGCTGGCGAAGAGTTGGTGAAGAAGACCGCAAGTATACTTCTTCTTGGACCGGATCGCTTCAGCTAAACCAGACCAAATACCGTTCGAGGAGAATTAAGAAAAGAAATGTAGAGGTGGCTTTGTGGGCACTAGAGAACCCTTCCGGGGCTTCAACGCGACAGAAAGCTTCTGGGAGATTACGACCAGGGGCGTTTTAGAAAAATTAAAGAGTTCGGAAAGAATCAGGTCAGAATGCTCACCGGTATTTTGAATGGGCATTGTAGGCTCAGGAGTCAACTAAGGAGTAAAAATATTTAAAAAGTAAAAATATTTTCGGATTTTACGGGTAAGTCGAAGAGACCACGGTAGCACCGCACGAGAAGGGAAGTACTGGGTATTTTACGAATATAAGAATTTTAAATTGACTATACTAATTCCGTTAACTATTATATAGTTATAATGAATATTAAATTATTTTCAATAAAAAATATGTTATATTAGAGGAATTAATTTTCTCAAAGAGCAATTAGATAAGCTATAACTCATATTTGTTTTGAAACCAACAAATGCACAATATAGAGTTATTCAAGTTTGTTTATATTTGCATATAGTTTCTCAAACGAGTCTTCTATATAAAAAACTAATTGTATTATACGAGTATATACGTGCTTAAATACATATATATTTATAAATATAACACATAACTACTACAACTTACTACTATCCAAGTTATATTAAACAAGTTTTTAACAAAGACAACTTATAAAATTTACGAAAATGGTAAATATTTGTTAAACTTAACATTCTCAGTTTAAGTTTGAAATAATATTGGTAAACGTTACTCATTATGACAAGTAAGAATAAACCTACATACAATATTTCAATTATTATATTTTCTTGGTAAGGGTATACAAAATTAAACATAAATCATGGTAATTGTTCGACTTAATTTTGAATTTGATGAAATAAAGTACATATAAAAATCAAAATTTCTGACAAAATATGAAAAATTTCATACCTAATTAAAAGTAAAATTACTAACAGTTAAAATTAACAGACTATTAGATATGTTTGTCATTAAAATTCGATCAGAACAGGTCATGAGGTTGTTGAGTGAAAGTAATAGCGTTTATATATGTAGTGTACCTATATAGGTACATACATATATGTATAACAGTTAACAATAATTTTGCTTTTTGTTTTACTAAAATTTAACAGGTTTATGATCAATCAATTGAAACAGGAAATACCAAAATTATTGGTTTTTTTTTTGTATATCAATATACATACTTGCATACTTCTTATTACATATAGATAATCCAGATATGTTCATGTATGTGTATGTATGTAATCTTAATTACAAATGAATCATTATCAAAGAAGACACTAATATTTTTCATAAGCATAGTATTGTTAAGTATTTTTTTTAATCTTATAAATATTATAAGATTCATGCATACGTATACTGGGCGCTTTGTGTAATGTATTACAAATATTGCGTCTTGCTATGAATTTTTTTTTTATGAAAATCATTGGAAAATTTTCTTTATTTCATTCATTTTAATGGGAGATGAAACATATTACGGTAAGTGAACAAATGGTACGATTAGAATTTAAATTGTAAACTTTTCGAATTATATAAGTATATAATTATGTGTGGATTCGTAAGTAAACATTTTATAACATGACTATGAATGGTATTCATATAAAAATAATAATTTTTATTTCTTTCTTTGCAATCCATTGGTCGGCTGAATTATCAAATGGAGCGTTTTTTTCTCTCTTAATAACAGCCCCTTAATTTTTAAATTGAATTAATATAATACACGATTTTTAATCAATTCTCTCTCAATTTATTGACATTATAGAATATTACCATAATGGCATGATTCATGTATAATGATGACCTGACATATGTCCAGTTCTCTCTCGATTTACTGATATCGTGATCATTAACGTAATTTCATGACATAAGCTTATTTACATCTTTTATAATATTACATTTCATTTCAACATATTTATTATGTACCTTTGTATGTACATACGTGACCATATAAGAAAATCTGAACGGAAAATAGTACATTTCGAGAAAAGAAAAGTGTAAACACTGCATACAAACATACTTACATTCATACACGCACACTATGAAAAAGAAAAAAGAAATGTTTTCCTCGAGAAATAACTAAAAAAATTTTTCTCTTATTTAACGGTATAATGATTTAAGTACAATTTTATTTACTTTGTGTCTTTTTATGCTACATCTTTCAAATTCAAATGTTTTAAAATATTCATGGTATATCAACATGTATTTCCACATATAACATATATATGTACATACATATGTACATACACACATATCTTACTTTTTTCGGTTTATTTTCCTGTTTAATAAAATAAAAAACAAAATTTTTTTTTATTTGTTTACTAAAATCTTTTGTGATAAAGTTTTCATAACAAAAATAAAAAGTTTGTATGTAGTTTCATACACACATGCATATATATATTAGGTATGTTTGTGAATGCGTAATAAACATATTTTGTATGAAAGTTGTTTTAGCACATAAAAAATTTACGTTTTAGTACACGAACATATGGGAAGCGTGTATGCAAATAAATCTTCTTCAATGCTAAAGAAAAAATACAAAAAAAAAAAGATTTTTTTTTCTTCAAATATTTATTTTTTATTTCGGCATAAATTTTTTTATGCCGCTTTTTTTTATTCTATTTTAATATTTTGTTTTTTTTTTCAGTTTTTAAATATACTACTATAGAAAATAGTGTCTAAATTACATTTACTTACAAATGTACAAGGCTTACCGTTTTTATTTTAGTACATGTA